CCATGCAAGAGTAAAAAAAAAAAAACGGTGTGGCCTATCGGTAAAAAAAAGATAAAAAATGTATAGACGAGAACGAATATCTTCACACCACGAGAGATACGATTGAAAAGTTTCCATTGTAACAGAAACACAGGGAAATATGAAGCGTGCGTATCGTCACTGTATTCCTCACTACAGCCAAGGGGTCGGGAAATCAAAAGGAAAATTATATGAAAGCGAGGAAGTATTTATGAGTGTATTTCATGTCCCGGATGTAGTTCCCGCCTTACGCCATGTTTTGTTATAGGACTGTTTTAGTGGAGAATGAGGGAGAGGGAGAATGTGATAATGAGTTGGCGAAAGAGGGAGATAGAGTGAGGGAGAGAGGGAAGGTGGGAGGGAGGGAGAGAGGGAGAGAAAGAGAGAAAGAGAGAAAGACAGACAAACAGATAGACAGACAGACAGTCAGACATGCACACAGACAAAGAAAAGCAGAGATAATGAAAAAAAAATAAATAGATAAATAAAAAGTAGAGAGAGAAAGTGGAAGAGAGATAGAAAACCTGCAGATCACGGTTGACTTAGCAAGAGCAGTGCACACGGGGGGGGGGGAATAAACACCGTAGGGAAGGGGAAGGGAAGTGGAAAGGGAGAAGGAGGAAGAGGGAAGAAACGGGGAGAACAGTAGAGAGAGAGAGAGAGAGAGAGAGAGAGAGGGAGGTGATAACGCGGGAAATGAGACAGGAAGGGAGAAAGAGGCGGAGAGGGAGATGTAGTGGGAGACGGAAAGAAAGAGAAAGAAAAAGGAAGAGAAAGAGCAAGAGAAAGAGAAAGAGGGAGAAACAGTCGGATGAACCAGGCGTAGCGAAGAGCAAGAGAGGAGACACATGATGCAGAAACGGAACAGAAGAAGGGAAGAGTGAAAAAATATGGACACAGGGGAGAGAGAGAGAGATAAAGGAGAGAACAGAAAAGCAAGGAGCGTTTAATGACGGAAGATAAAGACGAAATAGCGGAGGAGGAAAAAGATAAGGACGAAAAGAGAGATAGGAGATAAGGATGAAAAGGAGAGATATTTTTTTTAGAAAAATAATTAGAAAGAAGGAATATGGAAAAAAAAATTAAAAAAGAATTGAAAACAAGATCAATTTTTTTTTTTTAAATAGAAAGAAAGACTTGAAAAGAAATGGAGACAGAGAGGAGAACAATAACATGATAAAAAAGAGAAGAAACAAAAATGAACAAGAAAGAATAGATATTAAAGAAAGGCATAGGAAGAGCAAAGAAAAAATGCTAAAACGGAGATTAAAAAAAAACAAAAAGAAGAATAAAAAAATGTAAAAAGACCAAAGACCCAAATGGAAGAAGTAAAAGGTAATGGTGCGAAAGGAGGGAATGAGAAAGAACAAAAAAAAATGAGGAAGAGAGAGCATCTATAAATAGATATTTTTAAAATGTGTCGGAAAAAATAATGAAAATAGTCGGAAAGTATGAACAGCGACGGAGAGAGAGGAAAAATAAACGAAAAACTTGATGCTGGGAAATGACAAAGAGAGAGAGAGAGAGAGAGAGAGAGAGAGAGAGAGAGAGAGAGAGAGAGAGAGAGAGAGAGAGAGAGAGAGAGAGAGAACATATATATGTGTGTGTGTGTGTGTGTGTGTGTGTGTGTGTGTGTGTGTGTGTGTGTGTATCGTAATCCTGGAAATAATTAAAAAATAGAGAAAGAGAAAATGGATGATATAAATAATAGATAACCGCAATGGCGGAAACGGACAGACAAATGAAAAAAACGTAATCCTGAAAAATAATATAAAGAAAAAGATTCTTTAAATTAATTATACACAACCGTAATAGCGGAAACGAACAGACAGACAAATATGAAAAAAAATGTTGGAAAATGAGAGAGAGAAAGAAAAAGAAAAAAGAAAATACACAACAGAAAGCTAACAACACTTCATTACGAAAGAGAAATGCTGACGACAGATAACAAAATCTCTAAAATAATGTTCGGGGGAAACAAACCAAATAGAATTGGAAACTTTGTGGTTTACGAAGGCGCCGGAGAGAGAGAATTACGAAGGAGGAAATGTATTTATTTTCTTTGCCTTTCTTTCTTTTTTTCTCTTTTTTCTTTTCTTTTCACGCTCACAGAAAAGAAATTAAAAGAAAAAAAAAAGAAAAAAAGTGTGTACATATATATATATATGTGTGTGTGTGTGTGTGTATGTGTGTGTGTGTGTGTGTGTGTATGTATGTATATATACTACAGAGAGAGAGAGAGACAGAGAGAGCGAAAGAGAGCGAGAAAGAAAAAGAGAGAGAATTAGAGAGCGAACCACACCCTCACGGGAACACGGCATTAGAATTAGCAACGAGAGAGCCCCCCCCCCCCCGCAGGATCGCCAGTCCGCGCCGATGAAGAGGAACAAGACGGCGTAACGAGAGCCTCTTCAGCGAAACTCAAAAGACGGAGCGAGAGATAGAGAGAGGGAGGGAGAGGGAGAGAGGGGGGAGGGGGAGG